ACTGATATTACAATATTACAAGAAATATGCACTGCCCGCAGTCAGCAAAGGCTAGTCGAGGCGGGCAGTGTTTAATACATATATTAAAAAATATGAAATAAAAAAGATTTACAGAGAAGAGATTCAAAATTCTAGACAAATTACACCTCAGGGCAGGAAACTTTCTTTTCAATTCACTTGTCCCTTTGGACAAGTGTAGTGTGTATTTTACTTGTCCGGACCACAAAACTACTTGTCCCAAAAAATCGGCAACAGCAATTTAGGGTTTCAAAAATCCTTTTTTATCAGTTCAACAATGCCCCAGTTAAGTGGAAATCAATGGCGACGCTGAGCGAAGAAATCAAATACACAGCTTGCACAAAAAGAAAAGAAAGTTTATTTCCTAGGCTCTTAGTTGTAAAATACGAGAAAAAATGATTTATTATTTATCCAAAGTCAGGCAACGTTAGAGCTCTACAACTTAGGCCTAGTTTATACGTTACTTCAGTCGAATTTAATTCAGACCAATTTAATCCCATTAAATTCGTCTTTCCTTCGACGTAAACCGTGGCGTGGTTTTATCCCATCTGGAAACTCGATTTTTCTCTTATATTAGGAATTGTTTATTTCATCTCTAAAATCAATACCATCGAATTTAATTCTCTTCCCAAATGTAGTGCCTCGGGTCGCTGCGGGCTCGCAAAAATAAATTGAGAAAATACATTAAGAAAATGCATGTAATTTATTCGACGCGGCGCTAGCGGGACGTTGAAACTGAAGACGCGTTATCGCTATTTTATCCGTCTTACCAAGACGGATAAAACGTCAAGGACGAATTTAATTTACCAGACGATATTAATTCGTTTTAGACGTCGCGCTATCGTCAAATTTAATTGCTTGTGGAACCTTGAATTAAATTCGACTGTAGCGCAGACGTTAATAAGCTAGGCCTCACTTGTCCAATCGTACAACTTCGATCCTCTTTTTCCGTGTCCGAATGGAAAAGTTACCCGTCTCGGACGTTCGGATGGGCCAAGTTTCCTGCCCTGCAACTACATTTATTTAATACATTTAAGATACGGCAAGAAAACAGAACAAGCTGGGGTCTTATAGTTCTGCTATTAAAGTAGACAAATCAATAAAATCGTCGTATTTTTCGAGTCTCTGGAGGAGGAAATGATGAAGTTTACTCTTAAAATTGTATTTTGATAGGGTCCAAATTACATAAAACAACTTCGTGTTCTCTAATAATTACGTGGTTGCCATGACACTAACACATGAGAATTGTGACAGTGAAAAACAGTGATAAGAGTTTCTATCAGAAGGTCAACCAGCAAAACTAACATGCATTGTAAATAGTAAAGGAGACAAAACACTATTAGATATGGTGTTAATGCTAAAGCAATCTAAAAATTGTGGACAGAGAAACTAAGTTGAGGTAACAGAGCTAAATGTAAGCTTGGTGTTTGTCTAAGCCTGTGTACAACTGTACAGCATGTATATGTCACACCATTTTGACCCCTACTTCATTCTTCAATGTTGTTTTATAAGTGACTGTGGTTTTTTTTTTTTT